GAGGGAGGGAGAAAGAGAGAGGGGGGAGGGAGGGAGGGAGAAAGAGAGAGAGAGAGTGAGAGAGAGAGAGAGAGAAAGAGAGAGAGAGAGAGAGAAAAGAGAGACTGACACACGAATGCAACACGCGCTCTCACTATGTTAATAGTTCTTCACAGCTAGTGGCAAACCCTTGGAGCGCATCATTGTATCGCTCAACACAGCCTTCACGAAGAGAAAACAAGTATAAAAAAACAAAACAGTACAGACTGCGGAGATTCTATACGTGTATGAATGTGTAGTGTGTAACAGCCAGCACGTCTAAAAGTGCAAGATGCAGATGGCATGGCTGATAAACTTAACAACTTTGGGAGTTGTTCATCTCGTTGTGTTTCGGCGTTGTTGTTGTTGCTGTTGCTGTTGCTGTTGCTGTCGTTGTGGCGCTGTTGCTGTCGTTGTGGCGCTGTTGTTGTTGTTGTTGTTGTTGTTGCTGGTGTTATCGCGGTTGTTTTCGTATGGATTTTTAAAATGTTAATGTTTTTCGTTTATTTTGTTTTGTTGTTGTTGTTTATTTTAAGACAAAGTGCTCAATTCCATAGTACAGAATAGTGGGAAGACAAGGAATACCATAACAAAGGCTAGCCCAGAACAGAGAAAGGTGGAAAGTGTTTGTCCGTGGCCTATACCCCGGTGCAGGGTGAGAAAGGCAATGATGATGATGCTCAATTTCATGCCCTTTATCAGACAAATATAAGAAACAACAGACACAGAAAAACAGCAAAATAAACAGACAGATAGCAAGACAGCTACACAGACATAGCAAGACAGCAAGACAGACAGATATCAAGACAGCTTGGCAGACAGATAGCAAGACAGCTAGGCGGCCAGACAGATAGGTGGGTAAGTTGGTAGTTAGGTTGCTAAGGATTATCTAGATGACTTAGCAAGTTAAAGTAATGAGATCGTAAAAGCTCATCAACTCCACAAAGGCAGGGGAAAAAAGGCTCAAACTCAGCCTTGATCTTGATCATGGGCGTCGTGTAACACCAGAGAGTTTACAGTAATACAATATTATACTGTAAACCCTCTCTGGTAACATTCCTCCTCGCCATCTCTCGATCTCCGCATTGCAGATCACACAGGCGCACTGGGGCCATTCCATGAAAAATGAAACTGCAGCGACACACATTACGCGGGGGTGATGACTTGCTGAAAAATGTCTAAACTAGTAAACTGTGACAGGAATTTTTTGTTTGTTTGTTTGTTTGTTTGGTGTTTTTCTTTTGTTTGTTTGTTTGGTGTTTTTCTTTTGTTTGTTTGTTTCGTTGTTAGGGAATGCTTGCTTCTATGAAAAAAAAAGGAGAAAAAAAAAAAGAACAGCTCCATCACTCCTTAAGATGCGCAGCAGATTGTCATTTCCACGTTATATTATGTGTAATTGGAATTTCCAATTTTCCTGGAATGGCCGGCCCACTGTTATTCTCATCGCAACACCGGCAGTATTAAAATGTATTAATAATTTATCATTATGATGATTATTATGATTATTATTATTACTGTGAGCAACACGAGACAACGTCTACAGGACGACTACGTGAGTCGGGGGTAGCTAGACGTAATGACGAGTAGTAAGTACATGTAGTACAGCTGCTGAACCACTGAACGAGCACGAATCATGACCGCAACACACAAGAGGAGATGGAAAAACAAAGACTTACCACCCGTTCTTTTGACGTTTTGCTCTTATTCTTCAAACCAGAAGAAAACAAACAGACAAATAGATAATATAAATAATTAATTGTTTTGTGTTCAAAGTCTCAATCAACATTAATGACGAAAGATTATTCAATTTTTTAAAGATCACACACACACACACACACACACACACACACACACACACACACACACACACTTTCATACAAACAAATAAACATAATACATGTACACACTTCAAACCAGAAGAAAACAAACAGACAAATAGATCTATATAAACAATCAATTGTCACGACAGACATAACAATAATAATATGTTACTATGGAGTTAGTTTTGTGTTCAAAGTCTCCATCAACATTAATGACGAGAGGTTATTCAATTTTTTTTAAAGATCACACACACTTTCATACACACAAATAAACATGATATACACAAACTCACATAAACGAAGATAAGGGGTAGAAAAGCCAACGAAACACGTTTGAGCAGAACTGGCATCTGCAGCAAACATTAACATGGTCATGATTCAAAACAAACAGGACGCAACAGAAGACAGCTTACCTTTTGTGTAAAACTTTAAAAAAAACATCACGAAACAAATAATGTACAAAGGCGAAGAAATAAAGGCATGAATGTAATTTAAAAACAAAGAAAATAATATTTAATTAAACCCTGTAAAACATTACGATGAACAATATACTTTTAAAAAACCCAATAAACCTTTCCTTTCTAAAATCCAAAATATGAACCTAAAAAGAACTTTTGGGCCGGTAATTAAAAATACTGAGGCATTTTCCAGAAGGGG